GGGACCAGTAGTGTATTAGCCCGACGTTTCGGACTCTCACTCGAGGCCATTGCCAAGGAATGAAAACGTACAGCTCGCTGCGTGATTAAGTCAGCTCTTCCGTGGGTGACCTTGAGTTCCCATTTTTCGCTCCACCGCGAGTGACCTTGAGCCCTGACATTGCTCTCGCAGCGCGAGATAGGCATCTGGGAGATCGATATGCCTATTGATAGAGTCAGCGTGTGAGTGCCATGCCTCCTGCAAGAGGCGTGAGATTCGGTCGTCCGACTGACCCAGTATTCGCACGTGTTCGAAATCGAAGCCATGCCCTGGTATGGATGCGTGAGCGGCTACCAAAAAATTCTTGTCATTCCGTCCCACGGCGAGTTCGTGCTGGTGCATTCTCGTGAGCATCCGTTTGCCTGTTTCACCAACATAATTGGCTTGACCACAAAGGCAGTCGATGCGGTAGATTGCACCGCACTTTTGGGTAATGGATACTGGGTTTTTAGGCCGCATAAGTTGTCTGCGGATTGTTGCTTTCGGCCTGTGAGCAACGCCAATTATTTTATTAGGTCGCCGACTCTGTGATGAGCTTCTTTTTGACCGCGGCAAAAATTTGATTCTGTAAAAAATGGCTACTAAAATAGTATGCATTTTTATCATTGATTTTGACGACCTTTATAAATTCAAATATATTTTATGGAAATCATGCACAGGAAAGTCCTTTCTTGTACTTATTTGATAGAAAATTACGTCTCCTTTAAAGTTTATTCTTAAAGGAAAGGCTTTCTTCGGTTTTAAAAAAGTTTCTAAATTTCCTAGTGATAAGAAACCTACCAACTGCTAGATCTGAATTCAAGTTTTACGAACTGAGTGCTATGTCCATCCTGTTTAAGGAAAAGTACGTTCTTGCTTATGGTTTGGGGAAGTAGTTGCATATCTATCATGGAATTTCGCAATAGACATGGATCATGCTGTATATATAAGTGGCAGCATTAATAAATTAACGGATATGATGTATTATGAATGAACACCGCACAGTTGTAAAAAACTCAAAATAAGAAATTTTTTAAAACCGAAGGGAACCCTTTCTTTAAGAATAAAATTTAAAGAAGGCGTAATTTGCTATCAAATAAGTACAAGAAAGGACTTTTTCGTGCGTGAGTTCCATAAAATATATTTGAATTTATAAACGCAGTCAAAATCAATGATAAAAATGCATACAATATAAGTAGCCATTTTTTACAGAATCAGCTTTTTCGCAGCGGTCAAAAAGAAGCTCATCACAGAGTCGGCATCTTAGCATCATTGAAAATAATTGAAATCGGACTGCATGATAAACAGTATTACAACCGTATTCAATTTTGGTTTGCGAGTGATTACCGGTCTTTTTTAAAATTGCGGAATGTTTCATGCAGGACTCGCCATACTGTACACCAACCTAATATTAAGCCGACGCAAGGTCAGTTAGGCGAGTTCAGGTGCACTGGAGGTATTTCCTCCGAGTTTCATGTTTCTGTGGAAGGGCAATTTGCGGGTTAGATCGGTTTTGCTACTAAGTTTGAGATTCATCAATTGCCTCGAATGCATACTGCATAAGATGGAGGTTTCGACCCCTAAAATGGTGCCTCAAATTTCTAGTTATCTCACTTGACAAAATTATGAAAAATTCGTGTTCTCGGTGGGAGTCGAACCCACATAACATGGAAGGCCTTGGTACATCCGCAGCTCTGCCACTGAGCTACGAAGCTCACTCACAGGCGTGGATTTAATCAAACTTCGGTCGATTGTCATCAGCAGGCATCTTGGAGGACGGCAGTTATAGAACCAAACGCTAGGAACAGCCTTTGTTTATGTTGGAAACTGCATGTTGTCGCAGAACTGGGCAAATGGTTTTCATCCCGCAGAGGAAGACTGTCTTGTTTAAGGGCCAGGATCTCCAGTTCTTTAAATTAAGTATAGTTGCGTAAACTGTACCATACAAAGTATACGCACGTGTCAGGGCTTCCATCTACAACCTATTTTAGGCATACACACATGTGCCACTTTCATAATCCTACAGGATATCATATCCACCTTTCGTATACTGGAGTAGCAGAACAGATATGCAGTATTACTCATACAAATTCATGATCAAAATTGAAGGTGGTAGTTTAGCACATATTTACCCTTATTTCGATCTGAGGAGTGAATCTGATCCTCATTCTGGCTATATCATACGCCTCTGGGCGGCTGCTAGCGGGGCCCGAGAATGATTCCGAAGGCCTACGGGGCCGAATGAGTCCTCTAAGTGAGCGTGTATCCCTGTGGCAGCTGTCGCAATATCCTCATGTGCCCGTCAGGCATGACCTAGTGGCTGCTTTAGTGTCTCCTTTTTTCCCCTCCGTTCGAACGGCCGCCACAGGCTTGTTAACTATTAGACGCTCCAACAAAGCAGAGCCGAACCCAGACTTGACCTCAGCGTAGTCAGAGCCACATGTACAGGCAGCGCCCACCTAGCGCGCATCGGCCAGCCATAGTTCTTTGTGTTCATGTTCCCCTGAATGGCCCTTTGACCTGCCCAATCAGACACCTCACTCCGGCGTTATGACACGAACAACGAAAAACGCTTAAACAACACAGCTCTGCTCACCAGCTCCCACAGAGACGCTTTTATCTCTCGCAATCAAACAGTCTATTCACGGCAACTTGCCTTGTGTACGAAAATATTTGACCTAAAATTTGACACCCTTCTTCTATCACACGGAATACTTATAGTATAGTGGTTATAGTAGATGGCACATCCTTGACCAATACGAAAATCGCAGTGTTAATAAAAACCACACAGTTGGACAGTGTTCTCTGATTGCAAAGTATGCCTTTCACGCCGCCTACATGGCGAGATCGGCGTGTACGTCACTGCACTGGGGCAAGAGGGGAGAAGCTATAGGGAAGAGTAGGATGGGCTGTGACTATTGGTCGTGGTTCGGTTATGTGTGGAGAAGTTTACATGTCGCAATATCCTCATTTGCCCGTCAGGCATGGCCTAGTGGCTGCTTTAGTGTCCCCTTTTTTCCCCTTCGTTCGAACGGCCGCCACAGGCTTGTTAACTAACAGACGCTCCAACAAAGCAGAGCCGAACCCAGACTAGACCACTACATCCCCCACTATCTCTATCGTCGTATTGATCTGCATGTGTTTGGGTTGTGCCAAGTCATATGTGCAAAGTCACATGGAAGCATGCAGGTCCTGACCTTACGGTTGGAAGGTCACAAACCGTGACCTCTTACGCACACACCAGCCATCCGAAATCCATAAAAAAAAATTCCTGCTATTGAAAAACTTACTTATTTTGCTGACTTAGATAGCATGCAGCTGCCAGTGATAGACTAGTTTACGAATTCAGCAAGCAGTAGGACAGGATTTCCGCAGTTGCATTCTAGAGATTTATGGCAATTGATGTCTGGGCTGTGAGCCGAAGTTAACGTACTTTACAGCCCGCAGGCGAGGTACTGAATGTGGTCTAAGACGTTCGATGTTGTATATATTAGAAAAATAAGTTGTATTAGAATCATACCTCCTTTGAACAGGATCATTATCCAGCAAACTTGCGGTATCCATTTGATGTCAGTGGGTTCCATTATAACCCACGGCATCATTTAAAATGTCGCGGGATACCGTACGCTGAGTGTTCTCGATTGTCCACCGCCTGGTCAGTATGTTTTACGGGGACGATTTTCCCACAGGATCATCTCACGAGAAGACAGATCTCTCAGGATTAAAGTCTGTCTCTAATATACTTTTGTGCAGATAGAAAAAGCATCGCTTCCTACTTACCATTGCTTTGGTACTGTGTTTGCTGACGGAAGCCGAATAATGTCATTCTTCATTAGTGAACTTTCACACGACCGCTTACGGAACTAATCTATTCCGCTTTGCCTGTGGTTTCGACCTAAGCCTTGACAGCCGTAGCAGCAGCCTGCCTACACTACCATCAGGTACGGCTGTCAGAACCTCCGTCAAGACCCCAGGCAGAGCGGCATAGATAAGTTCCGTAAGCGGACAGGTGAACGTTCATCAATGAGTGTCAATATCCCTTGATCTAACCCAGCAAGACAACGAGCTTTTGGCCCAATGGTTAGGGCGTTTGACTCTAATCAAAGAGGTCGCGAGTTCGAGGCTTGGGTGAGACGTCACTTGGCGTTAGCAATGACTCACTGACGACAGTAATTAAGCCAGAAGTGGCCATTCCAGTCTGCCTTGTCTTTGCCGATAATAATAAATGTGATACTTGTTCTAATTATGCGCGGGGTGATCCCTGTGAAAAGTTCTATGGGACTTAAGCCGATACTTTTTTTTTAGTAAACAACGAATAAAATCATCGTCCTACTTGTTTATAGACCGTTTGGTTAGTTATAGTCACGGTTCTGTTTTGTTAGCCATGTGGGCTGGCTAATATGGAAAATGGTAGCTAACCACTCACCCGACTGCCGATTCTCATAGGTGCTAAAAATCAATGTCTGACCGGAAGTGCTTGTCATCCTAATTACACGGCACCTGTGACAGCGAAAAGTAATAGCATGCCGCGGGTATTCAATATACAATTTTCTTCTTCTACGCCTTTTAATTTGTGTCTAGATCATATGAAATTCTGTGAACCTAGTTAATTGCTGCGTTTTTTGTCACAAAATGTCCCATCTTTGCAAAAAGAACTTTTAAAGCTGAAAGCAATCGTTTTTTGCAATATACTTCAGTTTTTTTAACCTGCCTTCCCTTGAATTTTTTTGACTTAACGCCAGACGCTTCAGGTCCTAAGGAGGTCTCTTACTTTTGTTTACGTTCCTTAAAGCAGAGTGCATATAAAATGGGGAGGCGGGTTTACTTGTGCTAATAATTAACGCAGGAAATGATTTCGATATTTGGACATGTCCACTGTTGGCCTGTCCTTTTACAATACATAACAGTTAACATGCAGTCTTCCTTAATATAAAAACATCCCGAACCTCAAATCAAGTAACATACGTACGAGGTTATATTTCTTTACGTGTATTTTGTCGCAGAAAACAAAAGTTTGTTATTTTTGTTCTGCTTGAAGGGAACTCTTGCCGTTATTTACATTTTTTGAAGCAAAGTGCACATAGAGATGGCGTTTTGGCATGTGATAATAAATAACTAGGAAATGACTTCGATAGGCGGATATGTCCAAGATGGGCGTGTCCTGTTTTCAATAAATCACATTTAGCATGTATATTTCCTTATTAAAAGGTTTTCCGAGTGTCAGATCATTTAGTTTAAGGAAGAAGTTACGTAATATATTTACCTATCCACTAAAACTTAAATCACGGTATATTTTGATTGTGGACATGTGTTACAAAAACTGCAAACTACTTAATATATAGTAAATACATTCCGTCATCTAATACTACAACTCAAGCCATAGGAAGCTTTGCAATGGACCATGAAAATTAAATATTATGATGTGTGAATAATACATAGGTGGAATCAATGATTATTTGCCACCGTTTAACTAATGAATTAGCTAAGTCGATTGGGTATTGCAATGAAAAGATTTGTAGACTAAGACACCAGTCTATGTTGCAATATTACTGAAAAAATATTACACTATGATATATGGGCATACAGATTTGTACTTTTTGATCTTGTAATTGTCAATTCCTTTGGTCAAGCTAGGCGCTAGAATATAAAAAAATGTTGAATGCCGACTCCAACCTAACTTTCTATCAAATGTGAGATACACGAAGACGCGTACGAAAAGCACAAATGAAAGTGCATAACGTATTACAAAGCAATCCAGTTGCTTTCCTCCGAAAGTATGAACTAAAGTAATTCAGATATAACCAAAATGATATTTACTACAATTTTAGTACGTACACTTTGTTACAAAAAGTAAAGTAAGCTGTTTTTTATTATTTCCGAAGCTACCGATACCTCTCTCATGTGGTACAAGGAAATTCTGGATTATCAATTTACGGGAAAGGACCAAATAGCATGTGGTATGTTTTATCCCTTCTTTTCTATGATAAAAAGCTGAGAATAATCAATATACTCTCCTAGTTTTAAAACGAGAAGACAACTGTGAAGATCCGTCTTCTAAAAAATGTTTTAACTTGACTCTCCAGTCAGTATGTAGAGCATCAATTTAAATGGAGTTATTTATGTACATTTTTTGTGCCTCAACTCCCCATCAGTCATTGAGCCAACTTTATAGTTGTCCTTTTACTTAAAAGGATAACGTTAGTTTGCACCGAAAATCGAAGAAACCGCGAGTGGTCTAACCTCTGTCATATTGAGTCTAGTGTGGGCATCTCAAAATACCATTTTCTTGCGTTCGAATATGGGCTGTTGTTGATAAGTCGCTTTGACAAACAAGTGCTTTCAGCAATTCTTCATCAAGCCAACACGGTTTCAGGGACTGAAATGATCAGTTATATGTAGTGATAAATGATTCTCAGGCTAGAGGGGTGTAATTAGTCATCTCGGCGTCCTTTCGTCTCACGCATGCTGGCGCCAGCTTGTTGAGGACGTTTGGTCCGGCGAGCAGAAAACAGGGCCGATGGGATATTCTCACGTTCGCCGAGTCCTGTGTCCGTGCCTGGCATATGACTTGAAAGACCTCTCTCGGGTTGAACTGATCAAGTGTGCGAGGATTAAACTTGAAATCGACCGATTTTCTCGTTTTCCGAGTCAGGCTGGTATGTGTTTGCGTACCCTCTTCACTGGACGTTGCGTTCTTCGGCTACTATATCCCGCTCCACAGGAGCACGTGAAGGAAAATATGCACATGGATGTGGCCTTTAACGAGAGTCAGTTGTTGAGAATGTAAACATTGAGCTTTAAAGAGTAGACGCCGTTGATCATGCAATATTTCGACATATGCGAAAGACTAATACTCTTTCGCTTGACTCAAGTTGTGATACTGATTATCGTGTAGTCTATTCTGAAGTCATTTCAGCGACTCCAGTTGTGATACTGATTATTGTGTAGTCTATTCTGAAGTCATTTCAGCCACTCCATTTGTGATACTGATTATCGTGTAGTGTATTCTGAAGTCATTTCAGTTAGGATAGGAAGCCGGCTTTTATTGAGTATAAAATTTGAAGAACGCGTAATTTTCTATCAAACAAGTACATAAAATAATTTTCTCGTGCAC